TATGTCATAAGGGTATTACTGAAGAGTCTCAGGCTGGGAGGAAACCACTGTCAATTGTTTTGTCATCTGCATTAGGGCTCCTAACGGGATGCAGTTCATGACGAATTAACTGAGTCATCGTAACCCATTCAGTTCAAAGTGTGAATTCATGTTCGACAAGTTCTTATCTGATTGCAGCTTTCCAATTCACACACTTCCTTTTCACTCTCACGAGTTTTAATTCATGTACAACCCCCATACAAGTAATAATGAATAATTAAAGAAGTAGTTACGTGAAGAGAGTCTTTTCGGTCAAATTTTTCTTCTTGAGTGTCAGGGCTGCAAGTGAGATGAACTCAATTGAATTTCCTTTTCCTTCCAGTCGGCACCCACCTGTAGAAATTTTATTATTTGACCTGCCACTCGCGTAGGAAGTGTTAGCATCTTTGTGTCTCCAGAAACAGAATAAGACTTCTTGAGAGAAATCTTCGTCCAAAGTAGAAATATCAAACCAAACATTTTAGGAGCGTAATATATCGTTACTACCGAGAAAGAAGCTTCACGTGAACCTCGGTTTCCGGCGTGACCTAACCTTTGGTGATCTCAAGAGAAGAATTTCAAAATCTTTGAGAAGAACGTTCTCTGCAGCAACGCTAAGAGTGGTTTTCTTCAGTCATCCGCTCATCTCAAGAAACCTAGAAGTCAAGATCTTGTATCTGATCACTTCTGTGTACGTATATCAGTTTTCCGGTTCTTGTCCTATTTAAAAGGGTTCAGGAAGATTATCCCCCAACGTCTCCATGTGTATTGAAATAATTGACCACCTTGTAAAAACTGGTCACCAAATTTAAGCAAAAATTCCTCCTTCAAAGTGATGTGTAAAGTGGAGAGCAGCCTGCCAAAGACAATACGATTTTAGCTTCTTTCCAGAGCTGAAGATCTGCTAGTCCAATTAGAACAACTTTTCATCTATTTTTACTATAATGACTCTCTTGTAACCACCCATTTTTTCGATGCTTTTTAAATCTATTTTTGATTGGAGATGTCCATTAGAAATTTATATGACTGATTAGTAAACAAAGAATCATTTCCAAGTGTGGTTTTGTAGGGATTTGATTGGTTACATGATTTTCATCATGAGCTGACATTAGTTAGAGAACCATTGGAAAACCTGGGAGTACTGGACAGCTGTTTCACCCTAGTTTGGGACTCTTCAGCAGTGCTCACCCACCACCACGGTTCGAATCCAGGACCTTCTGGTTACAAGGCCAGCTCGTATACCATTAAGCCACTGGGACCCGATCCAATGGTCCATGAATTCTAACTTCTGCCAATTCACGACATAGCGCGACCGCTATCCAATGTCTTCGGTGGCGAGTATTTGTCCTCACCCGACCTGCTGCACCCTACTGGTCACGACTTCTCACAAGAACCCCAGGTAACTACCTACCTGAATAGGGCAAGTCGCTAGTGAGCATCTCATTGATATTCGAGTGTTGGTTTGTAGGGATTTGGTTGATTGGTTACATGATTTTCATCATGAGCTGACATTAGTTAGAGTCATTGGATTGGGTCCCAATAGCTTAATTGTATACGAGGTTGCCTTGAAACCAGAAGGTCCTGAGTTCGAATCCCGGTGGGTGCGTACTGATGAAGAGTCCCAAACTAGGACGAAACAACTGTCCAGTACTCCCAGGTTTTCCAATAATTCTCTAACTAATGTCAGCTCATGATGAAAATCATGTAAAGAATCATTTTTTGGATGTCATTAGGTTCTATACTTCTTCTTCCATAACTGCTAGATGATTATTGTTACTAACGACATCAATATTTTTTAAAAATAATATCAAATCAAAATGCCAAGCGTTATCTGTGATTAGGCTGTTAACTGATTATATTTCAAAACATGTCTCTCTGACTACATACATAAATGTAACACTAAATTGAACATCAAATCATAAATAACAATGAATATGTAGTAATAAATGCTTGTGGCTGATGTTCACATTGAATTCTATTCATACTAGTTCTATTATTTTGAGCTCTTATGTAATATCACATTTCCTTTGTATGTACATAAGTTTGTATGCTTGTGCATCCTGATTAGAACTCATGCATTGATTAATTCATTTCACTACATATCTCTATTATCCTTATTCAACTTCTCTTATTTATTGATTCATATTACTATCCACTCTAGTGGAAAACAGTTAGAAACAGTTTGAAAGAATGAAACTGCAATAAAAACCCACTTTGTTGGACTATGTATTTCGTTTTGCATTTGTTTTAATCGAAACAAGAATGCTTGTTTGGTTGTCAAAATAAACCTAACTTTTATGTGAACTAGAGAATAAGCTTACCAAGTATCTTTTATTTTATGAAATCTATAGTTTTTTCTATAGTTGTTTTGTAAGGATAAGATTTGTTTTTATAAGTTGATCACGGATTGATATCAGTTAGAGAACCGTTGAAATCCAGGGAGTACTGGATAGCTGTTTCATCCTAGTTTGGGAATCATCGGCAGCGCTCACCCACCGGGGTTCGAATCCAGGACCTCTCAGTTACAAGGCAAGCTCGTATACAAACCAACTCTCGAAAATTAATTTGATGCTCGCTAGTGACTTGCTACAGGACGAAGTTTCCTGGAGTTCTCATAAGAAGTCGTGACCAGTGAGTTCCATCCAGTTAAGTGTGAGGATGGATGTCCTACCGACGACATTGGCTGGTTGTCGCGCTAAACCACGAATTAGTAGAAGTTAGAATTCATGAGCTACTGAATCAGGTCCCAATGGCTGAATGTTATGCGAGCTTGCCTTATAACCGGAAGGTCCTGGGTTCGAACCCCTGTCAGTGGGTGCGTACTATCGATGATTCTCGGCACTAGGATGAAATAGCTGTCCAGTACTCTGGTGTTGGTTTTCAATAGTTCTCTAACTCCGTGATCAACTCGTGAAGACTTCTGTAGTGTTATTGTTGTCTTCACATTCAGTCAGTAGTTTTCTTGATCAAATTAAACGTGGTTCCTTGACAAAGCAATCAGAAGATGTAATTTATCGAGTAATCGTGTACTGTAATTGCGCAACACTTATTTCGAGCAATCTGATCACACACTAACTTGTCATAGGAATATATTTGAAATTAATGAAGAGCCAAGAGGTGAGAAAACAGACATAGGCCAACATAAAAGGACATATTGAGGGTCAAAATAACAATAAAGACCACTTAACCAAATAACAGAGGTAGCAGTACATTTGTCATGGTATCAAAATAAAGTTTACCAAGTAAGGTGGTTTACTGTGATGATGAGTTGTTTTGAACGCATTAAGGTGGTTTAAACTTCCTAATTGCCAGCTTGGGTTTGCACAAACCTGAGGATACGCCTCTAAGACTTTTTATTGATAGGTTTAAAAGACGTGTAAACATCATTTTTATGTCCCGTGTCAAGAATATGTTTCTCATTAGAGGAGCTAGGTCGTCTGTTCTCACCACAATATTGGATTCTGGAGATTCCATTTGTTTCTGAAGCCAATTTAAATATATGTGTGGTCACACATATATTTAAATTGCGAAATACAGTGTGGTGTGACATCAATGTTTACCTGTTCTAATGGCTTACGTAGATATATCGGATTCACATTCTCGGTTATTCTGATCTTAAGTGCATAAAAAGTTTTTTTTTATGTCAGCGTTCAATATTTATCTAGTCACTAAGCTGCTTTGATCACCCATATACGGTAGCTTCACATATATACATCTTCCTTAGTGGCTAGTTGACGAATGGGTCTTGATGTTCTGACAACTTTAAATTCCCTAATGAACTTGTCTGGATGATGACTATAAACCACCATTTGAGTCAACTTACTTTCTCCCTCATCAATTGCGTCTCCAGTGCATATTCGTTGGATTCTAATGAAGAGGCATCTTACCAAGGCTCTTTTGTACCAGAACGCCAAAATCCGTTTAATAAATTGAATGAAATGAGTACGCATCTAACGTATTTATTACATAACTCCCTTACCATTGTATGCATGCATATATTTACTTCGTTTAAACCTGAATCGCCTGTGTAACAACTATATAAGTGTTACTTTCTGAGCACTGTTCACTAAGTCCACAACCTGGTGTCAATTGACAACACGTGAAATTCGCAAGAATGGTAAAACGTTTCTGTTGATGAACTTGATAATGATATACTTTGGCTGTAAGCAAGTGGCTGATGAGAAGCTGATGAAATAATTGATGGTGCCAAATTATTCTGTAAAACCTGTTCTTACTTTATTCAAATGAAATGAGTTCTTTATATTCTGTATGATTCATTGTTTATTTTCCAACGAATAATGAATGATGGTAGTACCCGACAGAACAGTCGGAGTAGCAAAAGATTATGTCCCCTCAGGATTCACTTACAACCAGTAAATAGAAAAATTCTCATTATTATAAGCTACAGACCTAAACTGGATTCAATAGTGTCAGAGTTATCCACTGCCAAGAATTACTACTAATGGACAACAGAGGGTTGTTCAGTGCTTCTTGGCGTTCAGTCGCTCTCAACTTGAAGTTCTTATTTAGTCAATAGTTCTTTCTCATAGGAATATATAAATGGAAGAGGATATGAGAATAACATACAGCAATTTTATCTATTTATACTGATAACTGATAAGGTACGGGTGCTTTGATATGCGACTGTACCATTGCTGCACCATTACTAAATGTCTATTCACCAAGTCCTGAATCCTAGAAATGAATTATTCAGAAATTAGAGGCGGTTTATTTAATTTCTGTGTGCAAATAAATTCAAATTTGAGTTTTTTCATCTCGCGAATTTTAGTCACGTATGGACTAAGACAATTTCTGTGTTTCTCAAATGTATTCAGCTGTACTCCAAATAGGTCTCAATAAAATTAATATTTTTGTTCGTTTCGTTACTGCCAACTAAGAGCAGTATTAATAGTAATAAGCTTAGGAACATTAAAAAAATTCAATAAATTTCAAAAATAATATTTAAAAAAATACATTTATTTCATGGTGAACATCTATTTATGTTACAACAGACAGTTTTATTTGTTCGTCAAAGCAGTACAAAATCAAGACAACATAATGTTGTATGAATTTCTATATGTGTTGTTTATGTTTGTTCTAGACTCTATTGATGCCGTTTCCATCCAGTTTATACCAATATTGAATAAATGTGGTTAGTTGGATTAAGCTATTCTGTTACTACCAGTATAATTCGGGATGCGTTGTTGCCTTGGTTGTCTGTGTTGAAAATCTGGACTTCTCATGTTACCACCGTGAGAAGGATCTATGTGTGGTTTGGTACGTTTCTCTTGTTCTTTTCTTTTTAAACTGGCTGATCTTTGTAAAATAGCATAATGAAGCATGGCGTCATCAGTGCACTGTTCACCTGTTTCGTTCAACATGTTAATATCTAATAAATTTGGATCATTATTATTACTGTTATTGAAGGTATTCTGATTAGTCGATTGGTCCATGGATAATTCTTCCATTTGACCAGCAATAAAATCAGTTTCTTCATCTGTAAAATCTGGTTTCCATCGATAAGCTACAGAGAATTGTTTTTGTAATCCATGAATTAAATTTGTACGACGTTTTGTTCCATGCATTTGGTCTTTTGTATTGTTGGCTTTACCAACTCCACTGTTGACGAGATTTTTATTCCTACGAGATGATGATGATGCTCGTACTCCTCCTGACTGTTGTGCAGAATCAACATTTTCATCATAGAAAAGCATACTTCTTTTACGTCGTTCTTCCTGTATCTCGCTCAGCATTGAACGTAATGTGGCAAGGACAAATGTACAACTGAACGATGTATGATATAATGAATACGATAGAAGCATAAAATTGCAAAAATTTACATTGGCTAATTTTTTAATTATATGTGCACGATGAAATATATGAATGATAACTTCGCATAATACAACTGGTATTGTAAGGGCTAAATAGATTGCTGGTTCATAGAATACACCATAATCTTCTCTCGGTAACCAACGTAAGAAACCAATACTGATGAATATAATAAAGACAGCTGGAACTATACGAGTTATTACAAAGTCATAGTATAAGAATGTTGCAACACCATGAATTGTCGGTCCACATGTACAAAAGTTTTTAGATGGACACACTTTTTCATACTGTCTTATTACCATTGGTATTGGCATGCATAAAGAGAACAGGGCTATAAAAATGGATGACTTCAAGATAACTTCGAATACATTTCGCATAATTAAATGATGACGTGGTATTATTTCACTGAATAAAAAATTCCAAAATAACAATAGAAATGGAACAACAATTAAATAACTCGCAAAGCATCTTGTCACATGATCCGCATATACAAATGCATGACACCAGCCCCAGCGTTTATCTATACTGTCTGGTATCGGAGGTTTTGCCACGGCAATCACTAATTGTGGTAGTGTAGAAAATATAAGAACAAGTAGTGATCCAGTACAGGCGAGTATACGGTATAGAAATAAGGTTCTGTCTTGTTTTGGTAATCTGCGTTTTGTAGCTTGTCTCTGAACATTGACGCTATTTGTGTTCGGCTTGTTTGTTTTGCACTGTTGTAACTGTGTCGGTGTAACTGATTCACGACGCACTTGAGCAGCCCATACATAAGCAGCTGCTGTTTGCATAAGTGCTGGTATGATTACTACAGACAAAAAGGACAAAAGTAAACAGCAGTTAGTTGATAATGTGAATGTTTATTCTGATGATTTTCGGTTAAAATAACGCCAAATTTTTCAGAAAACTTTTGATATGCAGATTAACTGGCATTTTTGAAAAGTCTACCAAATGGAATAATCTGAATGTTGTAAGCTAATATACTTCTTCATCACCAGGTCATTATAAACAACTAAGTTTCACTGGCATGTTTATGGAAACGATTTGCACGCTGATTAAATATTTACGCTGTTTAAATTAAATGATCATAATTAAAACCTTATTCAATGAATTGATTGGTTTTACTATGTTTTAGCCAGTTCTAGAAATGCTTGTTTGCGGTAATCTTATAGTAAAACGTAGTACAAAGTGTTCTAGAATGTTGATAGACACAGTAGTGATGGTCTGACCAATATTTTCTACTTCAAGCATGTCTAGTTATCTATACTTGATGGTTTTACTGGGTTTTGAAAGAATGTTTTTGTGATTAACTGCTGCCAATCTCAGTAGTAAAAAAATTAGAGTTAGGTGAGGTGTTATGCTGTGGTTGAATATGTTGCAACTGTTAGTCTTCCTAAACAAGTTATGAGCAACACTAGGAAAGAACTGTGAAGTTAATCCGGAAAGTGTTGTGTTCTAAAGTTTATATACTTTTCCCACCACCCACTAAGCAGAATGTGTGACCAATAAAAATAGTTTTAGCCATCAAATCCTTACAAGTGATGCAGCGTTTATGCTTCTAGCACTAAGATCTGTTTGCTTAAATAACAGTTCCCTGAAATAGTTTGCTTGTAATCTGTATTGATAATTTATGCCTGCTTGTTTTTATTACATAATAGGTTACTTGGATATTTTATTCAGCGAAGGTGTCTGAAATATTCATAGATTTTTACGAATGAATAAAAAGGATTAGTTTAGAACTTGGATTTTAAACTGTATTTAATTTATCATTTGATTACTATTCAGAAGTTAATTGGTGGATGGTGACTAGCAGTGGAATCCAAAATGTGCATTTGGTCTTATTTGAGACTCCTCAACTGGATGTACCTGCATTCCCAATGAGTCAGTGATGGTGTTCCCGCCGAGGCTCGAACGCACTGCCCGTAGTGTCAAACGCCAAAGAGTTATCCACTAGACCACTTGGACCATAAGAGCCACTTCTTGTGCAACGTGTCATATTAATTGAATTTTAGATTTTCCCGTCGATTGATTGGACCGAAGTGCTCGGTTTCAGATTGATATGATTACTATTCATATGATAACCAATGAAGTGAAAAAATAAAAATATATTGCTTTTCAAAATTTACTTGTATCAATGTCTGACAGTGTCTGATGTGAACAAACCCAAGTTGATTTTCATAGTGATTAGCGGTAGAGTGCTGAAAATTCCACACTGTACCACTAGTACTGTTTCTGGAATAAAGCAAATTATTTTTATTATCACACGGCTTTGTATTTCTTTCAAAAACTTATCCGTCTGTTTTATATGTTAGCTTCATCGCTGACATTTGAAGTAATAAATTTCCGTAAGTATTTCAACGCAATTGCAGTGAATATTAAAGTGATCACTACAGTGACAACCAATAATTGAGGGTAAAGTTGGAAAGTAAACACTAAAGAATACACTATAGGCAACAATAATGATTAGTTCCGGTCTGGAACAGTCTTTCTCGATGTAGCCTTCCATATACTTCAAGTATTCCTACTAGTCCATTTATTGGCTGCTGATATGAAGACTGTATCAGAGTGGCTGTTAAAATTAGTGAACAGGTTTTCTGCTTCATTGAAACTACTTTGAATCCAAGATAAGCGATATTGAAAGCCTAGTTCATATGTAGAACAAGAAGAAGATAAAATCTTCCGATATGTATGGAAATTGTCACCTTAAGGGACCTGGTCGACTGTATTTTCGCTCAGCTCTCATTGATCTAGTTTGTTCCTACACATAGTTCACACACAGTTAATCCAGTTTTGATAACTGATCATGTTTAATACAGTATCAATGTGGTCGTAAATCACTGCGCTGCTCCAACTTATTTTTTCTTTGACTTCAAAAGCCTAAGCATTCTCACGTCGGAAAAGATGGCCCCACCTCCAAAGTTGATTTCGCCTTCTAAGTATTTCAGTGAGACTATATGTCATCAGACGTATAAATGGAAACATTTTTTGTCAGCAGAAGAGTGGATGTTGTTCGTAAGAGGATGGGTCATTTGGTAGTTTAAAATCAGTGGACGACATATCATATTGATCCATAAGAAAAAGAAAAAAAGACGTAAACAGAGAAGAAAATTTTCTTCTCAGCGATTCACTTTCATAAGCTACTGTACAATTGTAATTATATTTAACAAAGAAATAATTAGACAACCAATCAGATACTGGTAAACTTTGGCCTCGAAAAATGTATTACACTATGTAAGGTGTAACCTTGATGGGATGACTAATTGAAAGTTAGGAAAGAGGCAGAAGTCGGGATGACGTAATAAGTGTGAGATAATGACTAATCAATAAGCTCGTGTAGAATGGACAGGAACTACTGGAAAAGCGATAAAGTGTTTCTATATAAAACCTGTATGAAAATGCAATGTTATTGATAAACAGTAATAGAATGGTAATAAAATATGGATGATGGGAATAATAATGATAATAAAATAACAGTAGCGATAGGAATAATAACAGTAAGCTTACATAATAAAAAAGAAGCAAAATTATAGTAAAAACTTTACTCTGACCACGGTAGGGTGAGTGAATGTATGTAGCGCTTTTGAATGCAGAGGTCCACTTTCAAATCCCGAATAGTTAATGCTTCAGCTATGTACAGATAGTGTATGCGAATTCCCTTTGTACGATATTGAGCGCCTCTGTGTAGCACTGTGAGGCATTCATGCGGGGTTGCTGGATGTTCAGAGTTGACAAGGTGTTCGAGGACCTCTGTAATCGAAAATGCTACATAGATTCATTCGCCCTACCGTAGCCACAGTAACATTCTCACTATAATTTTGCTTCCTCTTATTATGTAAGTTTACTGTTATTATCATTATTATTCTCATCATCCTTGTTTTATTACCATTCTCTTCCTGTTTAATAATGATACTGCATTTCCATACAGATTTTATAAAAACAGGTTATCATCTTTTCACTAGCTTCTGTCCATTCTACACACTTACATTGGCTAGTCATTTTCTCACACTTATGGCATCATCTCAGCCTCTTCCCCTTCTTTAATTTCCAGTTAGTCGAGCCATCTAGACAACACCTTACATTACGTTTTCGTGGACAAATTTTTACCAGTATCTGATTGGTCTTATGAATTCTATATTAGATATAATTACGATTGTACAGCAGCTTCTGAAAATGAATCGTCGAGAAGAAAATTTTCTTTTCTGATACGTCTTATTCTTATGAGTTGAAAATTACTCAAGCGAAGCAGACTGGCTGATATATGAAAATTGACAGAAATGCTAATTTAAAGTGAAATCTGGAAAATAAGGGGAGCAGCAGTTAGTTTTTTTGGCGGCTTTGCTGATCAAGGTGAAAATAATTTATATAGGGTTATTTGCTATTTACAGATTCTAGCATGTCACTATCATATATAATTGTGCGTTTTAGAATTAAGGCTGAATAGGTCAAGCCCTGAACATTATTGTCTTAGTTTGTCTTTTTGTAAATCCCAGAAGACTTTTTAAAAAGACATATGTATTCTTATCTCAATAGTGCCAAAGGTAAGAGTCTCAGGGGTTATGGAATTAAGAAATATCCTCTTATTTCTACCAATTACGTATTTATAAATAATGTTTGTTCCAGTATCGTATCGCGCATCATAATGGCTAAATCACTTCACACTCACGCCGCTAGCTGACACAGTTTACTAACCGTACCGTTTTGGTTTTTTCAACGAAAGGTTATGTTAGATTAAGGGACATGAAATAGAGACTTGCAAGTGAATATTACCCCAATTTGATGAATAGCGGTGACTGTCAAACCAATTCTTATTACTTCTTATTGATTCAGTCAACCTAGATTAGATCAGATATCTAGTTTCATACAGCCGGTTTCCCTTTACTAGATTAAATATAGAAAGAACGAATATATTTGCAGGACAATACCATCTCGTCTTATTTCATCATAGATTCTCTTCAACTGAGTGCATCATAAATAAATCAATTATACGTCACAAAATGGTGACTGAACATACTTTTTTACAATGATTTCAAGTTACAGACAGAAAGCATAAGTAACATAATTTCAACGATAATGTAAGTAAACAATTATCTAGTATTAAAAGAGTAACTATTTTCATAGAAATTAGACAAAAAAGTGGGGTAGAGTTCAGCTTTCCCTCGGAAACAACGATGGACTAGAAACAAAATGCAAGATAGAACAAGAGAATTAATTTTTAATAATTAAATAAAATATAATAAATATATTTAAATCAAAGTAACCATTCTTTTCTTTGTGTATTAGTTATTCTGAACGCTTGACTAATTTCCACTGTATGTTGCATGTCAGTCAGTTAGGTGTCTGGAGGTTGCTCTTAGAACACCTTGCTGCTTTTCATAGGGGAAGACTTTTAGGGATATACTCGTATAATCTAATAGATGCTCTCCTCTTAGTCCTTCCTATGTAATTGCTGCGGCAAGAGCAGGTGAATTGGTAAATACAGTTGGAGATGACATGCAGAGTAAGATACTTATCTGCTTTTGACTGGGTTACCGAACATACTGTGTTGTAAAATAGGAGTCTAGCGGCGAGAAATGTTGTTTTCAATGTAATTTTGATTCTGTTTCACGTTCTCATACATACTTCTTCGCCTTTGTATGCCGTACAGATGAAAGCTGGTTTGTTTTCAACTATTTCAAGTTCCGGTCTAGCTGGTTTCTCTTTCCCATATTTCGATATGAACTTCCAAGGTTATGCATTTTCGATAAGTTTTTTTTCGATGACTGTGAGTTCCTCTTCAACCTTGTGTTCTAAACAAAACGCCTTAGCTCT